GAAAGAAAGAAAGAAAGAAAGAAAGAAAGAAAGAAAGAAAGAAAGAAAGAAAGAAAGAAAAAATAAGAAATAAAAAATAAAAATAAGAAGGAAATAAAATCAATGACCTCATTATTAACTGCAAAATATCAACTTTTGATTGTTTCATCTCTCTTTTTTTTTAAAAAAATAATGATTATTGCATTTATCAAACTACTGAAATTAGCTGTTGCAATTAAAGCTGCAGTATCCCTTTGGAAAGGACTGTCCATAAAAAATAAACTTTATTCCGTTAGGAGGTGCTGAAAAGGCACCCATCAACTGTTCCTTCATAAGCCCCAGATGCAAAGGGAGTTATGTGAGAACAAGGCTTGATGGACTGCACAGTTGGGGTAGATATTTAACACTTACACACACACAAAAAAGGTGGGGGGAGGAGCTCAATATGGAGATCTATAACATGCTTTCTTCTTTAAACTGAAACAAAATGGAATAAAAGAACTCTCTTTTGGAGGGGGGCAAGAGGGGATAATGCAGCTTTGAAGTAAACATTCCATTTGTTGTTCTTTTATTGTTTTAGAAAATGGTTCAGAATAAGCAGATAGCAAAATGGATATGTTAGTTTCAGCCAGAAATAAAATGATCAGAAGCATGGAAGCAAGCAGTATGCAAGTAAAGCAGAGAATAGCCATGAATATGTTGGAGGAGAAATGGAAAATAAAATAATATTTTAAAAATATTGTGGTTGCATGCTGGCATGAGAAGACTTAGTGGGTGCCACGTGAAATGCCATTAGATTAAGGAGGTTCGTTATTAAGGGATTTTCAGTTTAGATCAGTCTCTTTAAAGAAATACTGCATATTCAATTTGCACAGTTAGTACAACTGAGTTACTTTTACTGCATTACTGTTTAATTGCCATTGTAATGAATAACAAATCAGAAACAAAATGAAACCAAAACTATCAATCATAGCACATTATAAATACACATGTAGGCTACAAATGTGTGAATGATTATTGTTATGTCAGTGTTTAAATGTTAATAAAATCTAAAATGGCAGGAGAAAAAAATATAAAGCAATTTACGAAACTACTTTTAAATGGCTGAAAATGACATTAGCACCTGTAATCGGAGGAAGTGAAAGGCAAGGATTTAGGAAACATTCGCTGTGTTCTGAAAAAAAAGAACAAATTATACAAAGGCTTCAAAGTGTTTAAATGTTAATAAAATCTAAAATGGCAGGAGAAAAAAATATAAAGCAATTTACGAAACTACTTTTAAATGGCTGAAAATGACATTAGCACCTGTAATCGGAGGAAGTGAAAGGCAAGGATTTAGGAAACATTCGCTGTGTTCTGAAAAAAAAGAACAAATTATACAAAGGCTTCAAAGAAAAAAAATTAATCAGGGCTTTTCCAAAATTGACTATGAGATTGCCTATGCAGTATTTCTAATTTTCTAGAAAGAATGGCAAACCTCCTTAATTTTTTTTTAAAACAATGGCTGCAATTTATCACTGTAAAGGCATGCATCAGAACACACAGGTACAGCCCAGATTAATGTCAAACTCACAGATGCACACACACACACACAGATACACACACAGACACAGCAGATATCTTGGATAAAAATGCCATACGCATTACCAAACTATGGCGCTATGGTGAATGGCTTTGTAGTTGTTAAAGAAAAATGTGACTACCATTGCAGTAGTATCCATGCACTTATTTGGCTACATGTTTTGAAAGGCAAGCAATATGAAATCAATTATAGCATTATTTAAAACCCAGCAGAAAAGAGCTGGATGGACTAATGGACTTCTAAGAAATAAGGCTACAAACTTTCTAACTTTCTAATTAGGAAATTATGGCCTTCCTTTTTTCTCTAAGGAAGAAATACAATTTTTACTTACCATTGGTTTCTCCTGGCTGTTTGTCCCTTTTCCTCTTCTTCTTCTTGCCCTGAATGAAACATAAATACATGAAAAGATTGTTACAAAAGCATCTCACAAAAGGAGACAAGGGGAAAGGACTATTTTGCAATGCTTATAACAATGCTGTAAGCTTCTAAAAACACACACATTCAAATGGTATAGTAATAATTTTAAATTAGACTCCTTCTTCTGAACATTTCATGCCAGTCATAAGGCTAATGTAATCATACCCCAAACCTATAGCTTAACACTCATATATGCTAAGAAAAGATGTATGGATTAAGATTGAAGAAGCAACCGTGACACACAAATGCACACAATCTAGAAAGTATAAACTCACTTGAAAGCTGGTCTTTCAACGAGAGTTAAACTGAAGAAACCAACCAGTGAAGCATATTGAACATAGACCATTTCTCACTATAACTGTTTAGAAAATTAGAATGAGTAACAAGTAATAGAGTAATTGATGACAATAAAGAATGGGGAATGGATGGCACTCAAGAATACGGATGGACATATCTATCATTAACTTTTCTCCTTAAAATTTCAAGCTCTTTCCATCCTGTGTAATAATACGTGGGTTAAGTATGGTTAAAAATTGAAACAGATAAAATCCCCACCCAACTGCATTAACTAAATTCATACATATAACCATTACTTGCATGGAAAGCACCATTGCTGGACTTGCCTATACTAACCATGTCAGAAAGAAGAGATGATACCCTAATTCAGCATCTAAGCATGGTTAAATAAACTGGGAGTTCACTGACACTTTTAAGAACTAAACATACATAAGGATTTTCATGTTCTTCATTCAGCTCTTCTTTTCAACCTATACTTTTACAGCCTCATTCTCAGGGAATTTGGGATTTTGGAAAGTTCTCATAAAAAAATACAAACCAAGTGAAATTCTCACCCCTGTCTACCCAAAAGATACTCTACAAATGCTTGTAAAATATCATGAATCAAAATAAAAATGAATTTTAAAATTGTGCTAAATATGGGTCATTTTCCAAAATATTATTAATTGTTAGAAAAAGATGGAAGTTCTCTAGATAGTAAATTACATTTGTGCTGTAGAACTTCAGGAAATTGCATTTGTATTTCTGTAACTTTATGAAATGAACCAAAAATAGTTTCAGTGTGTATGAAAGTGAACATTTTGTAACTTTGGTAATAAATAACTTTTACTCCCCAAATAGCAAATAAATAAGAACTACTCAATTTCATCTTTTATTGGCCTAGGCTAGAAACAACATGATGGCCTGTTAGACTTTTGCTTCGACAACAAAATAATAACGGAAATTTACAAGGAAGTGGTATAGACCAAATACTCTGCCCTTTCACTTGTGAATGGAAATCATACTGTCGGGATGAGAATTTGTGCTTAATGGAAATATAGCTATAAACATAAAGAAAGCATGATAATGGGGGGCAGGGGCTTTCCTATATCTGTTGTGTCTGCTTTTCAAAAGCTTTGGTCTAGTTACCACTTCAACAATTCATTTTGGGTTTCTACTCAGCATGTCCACTATGATATTTATGCTACCTGGAATGTACTAGCAAGAACAGGGGATGTGAATGTTCCTTTTGAAGATACAGCTCCTATAGGCATCCAGGCACAAGGCCTTTGAACCTGTTCCTCTTTGCTCATTCAGGTGATAAACTGCTACCCTGCTGTTTTGGATGTGACAGGCAAAGTCTTGTTCAGGAGAATTTTTGGTGACAGAAGGAAGGTTGTGTATTTGGCTCCTTGTTTTGTTAAAATTTAATGCACTGCCGGGAATACTCTAACAACTGAATAAGGATTGACTCTAGCAAAGGCCGAAATTCACTTATACCTTTCATGGGGTGATTTGTGGAGTGGAACTGGGATCTTAGTTACACTTTCATCCACGGCATCCCTGGAGACTAATGTCTCTGAAGTTCCTGTGCTAAAAACTCAGTTGTATTGGTAGCAAACTAAATTTTGGCTATATCTACATCAATATTAGGGAAATAGTTAAGTGTTTTAGAATATAAAATACAGAACAGGACAATGTGTCTCTAAAACAAGACTGGATTTTATACCAAACATTCATTGATGCATAATATATGATTTACTAGTTTGGAGGAATACGATAGGGATGAAATATAACAAAATAAATCCCTCTAGAGGAGAAACAACAGAAACATATTTTTTACTGAAGTAACTTCCTCCATCACGATCATATAATAAAAGAACTTGTTGAGAAGAAAATTTAGAACACCTAATCAGTCATTGTAAGTAAGCAATGAAAAGCAACAATTTTCTTGAAATAAACCATAAAAAATATTCAACAAGATCATTTTCTTTATCCCAAAAAGTTTTGTTCCCTTTTAAAACCAAACCAGGAAAGTGATGTTAACAGATGTTCCATATTTCCTCTGAAACAAATATTAAATAATTCATAACTTCACAGAAACATTGGGGGAAAGAGGAAAAGGAAAAGTTCTAAGAAATTTTGTTTTTGTTAGAATTCTGATAACTTGGATTATATTTTTCAGTGAAAAATATAACAAGATCAAAAGCTCTTGCACATCCTTATCACTGTTAAATTGTTTTGGTTCATATATTTAAAAAACATCACACAAAAGAAGATAGTAATTTGGGAGATTTCCATGGTTTGCAAAATATAAGACATACAGTATTTAGGGGGGAAAATCCTTGATGAAGGAGGGCCAAAACAAAAGTCATGACCCATATGGGTGGGTATGAAACTGACTATTTGGAGGGACAAATGAAAAATCAAGTAGAGAGAGAAACAAAAGGACACAGGATCCTGAACAGCGTATCTGCAGACTGCCACATTTTGTTGCAATTCTTAACCTGCAACATCTGATGAATAAAATTGGACTGACTTTTTTGAAAGGCAATCATAAAACAAAATACACTAGGTCATTTATGTCAATTATACATCAAAATAGCAAAGTAACACCAATAAAACTCAGTTTGGCCAAATGCTAATACTCTATAATAGTAGTCGTGCAAGGTTTGGTCATGGTATCAGAAATGGCTCCATCCTGATCTGAGGGGAGGTCTCTGAAATGATCATCCAACTATGACATTTTCATTAAAACAGGCATAACGTATATGAGATGGCAATCTTCATAAAAAGGACAGTATTGATCTAAATACATAAATGTCCCACCTTCTCTCATTTCACATAGGCAAATATCAGGAGGAATGCTGTGGGCTTTTCCCTCCAAAGGTAGGAAGTCAGGGTAGGAATTTAAAGATGCCAGCTTAAGAACAAATCTTTAATTTAACAGCTGTAAACTCATAAAAAATCCATGTAGGTTATCTTGTACTTACTTAGCATTTAGACACTTCTAAGTTTATTATAGTGTATAGTGTAATATACTTTAATATAGTATCTTTAATATAGTGTAGTATTGAATATATTACACTGAGAAGCTCATAGATCATTGAAAATAAGGGCACATTTCTAAGTTGAATTATGATATATGCTGGAAATTTATGAAAAATATGTAACTTAAAAGAACTGCTTTACATGATTAGACAAATCTCTATGTTCTGCTTTTTCTGTACACTTATTTTCATAATTACTATGTTGGGGGGGGATTTTTCAATTTCTGTCCTATTGCTTTCCAGTGTTCAGAGGTATATGCAGCCGTTAATCTATTGTCCAAAATGTTGATCAGTTTTAAAAAGCAATACAGTATATCCTCTATTTAGTGGCCCATTTGGAGGGAAAGGGTATCTGCTAAATCGATATGTCCAATAAATCTTCAATTTACAAAATTTATATAATTACATATTTTATGTAAATTGTCCAGACAGAATTTGGATTTATCCATTAAACTGGGTGATTGTCTGCTAAACAATGGTGAAGTATGAGCTCAAATTTTGTCTAATAAATTTAAAACCCATTAAATTGAGGGCTACTAAATCAAGGTTTTACTGTACTGACAAGCAGAGAACAAATTATATATGTTAATATTGTACTATAATTATCCCTTTTGTATCCAAACATGCTGCCAAAATTTTCATTATTTCACTAAGCTAAATTATAAGGAGAAAGTTCTCTTTTTCTTTCTCCTTCCATTTTTAATACCCATCATAATTTTATAAATCCCTTTCTTATTCATCCTTTTCTTATATTTCGTAACAAAAAATCATAACTATAACAAGACTGTGTAACATCCTTTGATCATTTTAGGTTCCTTTTTTCTATTTTTTTGTGTTCTTTACAAAATAGGAAACCAGAAACGAATATTGGCATTCATTTTTTAAATGTTTATCTTATGTCACTTTATTCACATTTCTTCACATCAAATTTTAGTTGTTTTTTACTAATATAAATACTAAGCAGTCATTTTTAGTCAGTACTTCACCTTGAACCCATGATTTCTTTAGGCATTTCAATTCATTCATATTTGTTAAACACTGATAATCTCATAACATGTCTACTATGCTGTTCCATTGATTTTAAATGTCTTACTGTTATTTGGAATATAAAAATGTTCTTACATTTTATGAGTCTTCAGGCACATAATACCTGGTGCAAGCAATCTGATTCTGGGGGAAATGCATTGTCATCTCACTGTGAATTTCACTGAATTTTATGTATTTGTTAATGTATTTCATTATGCAAATAAAAATTGGTAATGACATACATATATTGGTAATTTAAGGTGTCTTGGAATTGAACTGAAACTGACTTTTTATGTAAAACAAACCAAGAATACCTTTTCTAGCATTTATAGAATTCTTATTTCAGTTGGCAAAAGTTAGTATCTGAAGGCTGACCATTCAAATGCTTAGTTCCTAAAGTTTGATTTTGCCTAGATTTGTGAAAAAAGTAAGTATATAAGAAAAAAAAAAACATTCAGTGCTTCATATTGCTGCCATTATGTGTACAATATATAAATAGAAAGTGAATGAGATTTGTTTACCACACAAAGAACGTATCCTACATTTATTATCTTTCTACATCCATAGGAAAGCTGTTGTCCAAAGAAAGTCTGTGAAAGTGAATCAGTTCCAACTAACATGGCAAAAGGATTAAATCCCTTTTAGATCTTATGGCTGTACTGATCTACTGAGCTCTCCTACCCCTCACATTCAGGAAAGTTCCCCCTGAATGTCAGATAGGGATAAAACTTGAAGCTCCTGAGAAATGCCTCAGCTTTCTTTGCCTATCCTTTTTAGCTTGAGCAGAAAGAGAGTTTCAGTGGTTCCACATGGAGGACAACTGTAAAGGTCCCAATGTTTAAAACACTGAACCTGCCCATCTGTCAAAGTGATGGAGGAGGAGGAGGAGGAGGAGGAGGAGGAGGAGGAGGAGATGTTTCCTAAAAATCTTTCAAGCCTTGCAGCATGGCCCTGTGAATTCCCAAGAGGAAATTAGACTGTGCAGTAGCAGAATGAATTTCAGTTTAATTCCTAGTAACTACTTTGAACTATCAATCTGGAGATGACAAGAACAAACAGAAATATACCCTTGGGTTGCAAAAAAAAGTGACCTCAAAAAAAGATGTACAAGCACTGCTATATGCTTGCAGGCAAGGGAAATACTGGAGGCAATAGGAACAAATATTAACAGAGGGGAAAGGCATGGATTAGTAATGTGGGTTACTAGCATTTAAAACAGGACATTCATCTGTGCCAGCCTCAAAGAAACAGAATTCCTTGTATGTTGCTTGATAACATGCTTGATATGGTTGGGCAGCTATATAAATGTTTCAAATAAATAAATAATTTATGTACTGCTATATAGAGAGTAACCTGCTAATATACACCTAAGCAGAGACAGTCTCAAACAGATTCATAAGAATGAATTTACCAAAAATTGGTAAAGCAATATTTTTAACTTACTGAATGAGTGAGTTTGACTCTGCAGAAATGGCTTAGTGTAACATGTAAACAAAGCGTCTCCTTTAAGAGAAGTGAAACTAAAAATATATCAAATTCCAGGGAAGTCAGGCATCCTCTACTTATTGCAAAGGCATAGACAGAATAATTTAAGTTGTGTAATTTCTCATGTTTGAATAGTATGGCACTGCTAAAATCTCTCTTGCCCCCCTTTTGGCAGCTGGTTATCCCAAGAGATATAAATCAGAATCTTTTCAATAATGTCTTTTTGAAGAACCAGTTGCTTAAACAGGCTACCAAACTCTAAGTCTACTGATTTACAGGACACGTGCAAGATGCTTTGTTCAGATATGGTGGAGCTACAGGACATTCACCCCACGTTTTTATTTCTTTGGTTTTAGCTTGTATGCAGATTTTCATTTTATTTTTACTGCCTTTACAAGGTAATTTATCCATCTGTTTTTTATTTAAAACAATTTATATAGCGGCCCAACCCAGATGCAAATTTTACCACACAGTTTAGCAATTTCTTTGTGATAAAACAGAGGAAAGACTTTATATAAACAGAATAAACTCATTTTCCCCAATTTTCTACTTGTAATCTACAAATTGCTAGTTAAAATATTTGGGCTCTATTTGAAATTTACCATACGCTGACTGGAGTGTTTAAGTTTAAGATCATATGGTTCATGCTGGAAATGCTTCATACTGATGCAGTACCTTCCCTGAGAGATAATTATTGCACTCGTTGTGTAGTAAATGTATATTTCAGTCACAAACACACAGAAATAAACAATCATGAATATCATCTGGTGGATCAGAGACAGATCTTCATGCCCTCCCTCTACATCAAAATATACATCCAGCCAGTTCAACAGAGCTTAAATGAGCATTGCAGTGTGAAATGCTTATTCACAATGTATCTGCAAAGATAACACACAGACAGGGTCATGTAAGATGCAAAATGATGCACTGCGCTCTTCAACCAAGCTCCTCAGGACCTTTCAAAGGGGAAACTTAGATAACAAAGGGGCTAGACAACAAAGAGCCAGTACAAGATATTTGGTAAGCCAAAATCATTTTCAAACAAACTGTGATCATGACAGACAATTGTACAATGAAGTAAAATATAAAACAGTAGAGGGTGGAATAATTTATTTAGCCCCACTTGAGAGCAAGACTTCCAACAAATCTTTGCCTTCTCTGAAGCTAGGGTAAGCCATTCTTCCACTTTCCACCATACTCTCACACAGGTATGCAACAAGGCACTCAATTTTGGGGGTTGGAGAAAGAGATGAAGGTGAGAATAGAAAGAGAACTGTATTATTATTATTATTATTATTATTATTATTATTATTATTATTATTATTATTATTATTATTTTGGTAAAGTTTAAAAAAGTTAATGTTCTAATGGGATATATATTCTGCAAGAAATTTGTTCTCATACAACTTTACTGACACACCTCTATTGAATGGGTGCCAATTGTATCCAATTGGGTTGGCGACAGAACGGAAACATCCGCTATAATTACCGGATTGGTAGTGCTTGTCTTTCGTGTGTGGGCGTACTTCAGCAGATTACAGCAGTACTTGTCTACAAGCTCTACTACTGAAAAAAATTCTACCTACATAGCCACCTACATAGTTATCCCGTGCGGACCAGCCGGGGTAAAGTTGCATGTGAAGTTGCCGTTCCTTTCTGGCTAGTTCATAATATTTTGCTTGTTCTTCTCTAGATAGTGCATGCCACTGTGAAGAAAAAGGAAACAGAGTCACAGTCACAAGAATATTCAGTAATACAGTACACATATAATACATCTTAGAAAGTTGCATCCAATAAAATGTATCAACAGACATGGATTAACACATTATTGCATTTATAAAGTCTATTTCACTGTTACTTTAGCCAAGATTCAATTAATCACCACTGATGAAAAAAGAAAGGTGTAATAGCTCAAGCATGGTTCAGTTTGTACTAAGCTATATTTGAGTGAGACATGCAGGAAATGTCCCTCAAACAGCTCACACTTTAAATTACTCTGCACTTCCTTTCATATCATTCTAAAATACCTCCCTAAGACAAAACAACAAGAAGAAACAAAAACTGTAGCACATATTTTTAATGCCTGTACTGCTGACCTACAAGGCAAACTGTTTAACCTTCAACATAGCAAACGTAACTTTGGGCCAGTCAGTCTCAACCCTAAAAAGAAGGCAGTGGCCAGCCACTTCCAAAAATATTGCCAATAAGACTGCATGGTCTTATCCTGTAGTCACTAGGAGTCAAAACTAACTAAAAGGTACAAAAATAGTGCTAGTAATTGCTGCATTATTATTATTGTTATTAGTCATGTTGCTAAATGATGGCTCTTAGGAATCTACTCATCAGATTTAGGATCCTTGCATCTAGAGAATGGAGATTCCAGCATCAACATCTAAAGGTTTGTGGATAGGGTATTCCTGTTCCAAGAGGCTACAAATATGGATTAGAATTTGAATCCAACCACTCGTGTACTTTTAAAAATCAAGAGAAATAACAAAGTATACCAAACATTGTGGTTGGAAAATGAAGATGAAAAGGCAGCGATTACATTCAAACCTAAAAATCAAGGGATATAGGGAAATGCATATACTGACATTAAGTAGCATTTAGTTATGCTGTAGAAGTGTGCCTACATGTAGAAGTAATAATCATCTATATATTATCCCAAAACAGAAGGAAATGGCAATGTGTCTTTTCATTTTAGACATCTTGCTTGTTTCATCCAACACTTTACAGGTTTCTATACATATCCTGACTAGTTACCTACCCTTCGACCAAGAATTTGATTGATGGCAGCACTCTCTTTCAGTGTGCATTCTGCTACAACTTTTGCTCTCATTTCCTTCATATACAACATAAATGCATTAAGAGGTTTCTTTATGTGTGGTTTCTTTTTCTCCTCTTCTTTTTTGGAGTCCTGATGTTTTCTAGATGGTTGACAAGAAATAGAAAAACAGAACTTGCATGACATTATATATTCTATATTATACTTTAACCTCCTCTCAAACAAAACCATAGCAAGGAGTAAAGGAATTTTTTTACTTATCTTATATTTGAGAATCTTCCAGCAAGGCATAAAAGTGGGACATCTTTATAAAATGCAAGAGAGAGTTCTATTTTATGTTTAGTAATTTGTATCCCATTGTGCAGGGTTAAAATCTGCTTAAAGATTTTAATTAATAATAATATATACATACACACACACACATACACAATAAAGAGTGCATTTACAAGACAGTATGGTACTACTGCTTCATAAGATTACAGACAAGAATGGTACACTACATTGTTGCCTTTTTACTTATTTCAGAATAATGGGTGGTGTATGTGTTGCAATAACATTGATGGCTCAGAGCACAGAAAGATTCTTTAAGGTGGTATAACAGTTTAAATAAAAGGCATCATAGGGATGGTCTCAGGGATCAGTAACTGGAGAGAAGACCCCCAGCCATACAGGATGGAAACTAAAAACTGCAAGATTAGATTTTTGAGCCTGGTTCTTAAGTTTGAAGCATAAGGTATGAAAACAAATGCTTGCAGATTAGAGATAAATACAAGCTGGAGTGCTGTTAACTTGATGACAACATATAATTCAGTTATTAATTTATGGAATATTTTTGGTTTCTAATGCATTGTGATCCTCTTGTACTATTGATTTTCACAATGACTACTCATTGGTTTCTTGTTCTAAAATGATAGGTTTCAATGTGTCTTTTCTATATAATATATGGAGAAATTGGCTATTTATGCTGATAAAAAGCTGCTCTCTTCATCTTGACAATCAACAATATTGCCCTGACCAGATAGGAAACTACTTTGCTCTTATCTTTGTTGCTGCGACCAGTGGCAACAGAAGTAACAGCTATTACATCTGTCCCCTTACATGGCCAATTTACTATTCTTCTTTCTGAATACAAAGCCAAAATGCAATTCTCATAAAAAAACAAAACAAAAAAGCAGACAGCAAAGAAACATTTCAATCATCATTATCATTATCATCATCATCATCATCTCCTTTTCTTCTTCTTCTTCTTTTCTTCGTCTTCTTTTCTGGTATGGGTAGTGATAAAAACTAGAAGATTCAGGAAATTTTTCCCTCTGTTTATGTAATTTTACTTTAGTAGCTGAGAGCTATCAAAAATTACAAAGGCAGAGTGAAGGACCTCCTGAACACATGAACAATAACTTGACACATTATTGGCTACTCTATAGCAGCAGTAACGGGACTTCAGGCAGAGGAGGATTTCCCCAACTCAGATATCAAGGTATGAATCTGGAACTTTTGCATTGGAATGTGGGCATTCTAAAATATTTATTTATATTTATTTATTAATAAATTTGTATGCCGCCCATCTCCCCCCAATGGGTGACTAGCCTCTCATCATAGCCTCTCATCAAAATATAGCTCTTTATATAATTATTGGTCATAAGTGAATCCATTTGAGCTGAAGGAAAACCATCAGTATAAAAATAATTTACCTTCCTTTTATATATCTCAAAGTACTTAACCAAAGTGTATTTGGTAAAACTGACTATGATTACTCTGAAACAGAAGGCTTAGCATAACATATACAAGTCTGTGCTGGGTAGAAATATAAGAAAAGTTCATGTTGTTTATTCTAATGTTGACCAATAAAGCCACCATTTGATTTTATAGGAAATGTATATGAATCATGATTTCAGTTTCTAGGATCAAGATACTAGATTTGGATTAAACACTTGAGTATAATTTTGGAAAGAATACTTAAGGTTGTATACCTCATTATCAGTAACCCACGAATACACAAATAAGAGATTCCAGATTGCTCCAACTGTACTGTTCATGATCTTGGCTCAAACACTATGCACATTTGATATATAATTTCACATGTTCAAATATAAGTATGCTTGCTTTTCACAGGTACTCTCCAAGCAAAGAATCCAGATAGGTAGAAATTCTCTAAATGAATTTGACATCCATTCACTATGAACAAATCAGAGATTGATATGAGTCAAGAGATTTTAATGAGAGCCTAAATGCTCATGTAAACAAATTTAAAACAAATGGATAATAGGTCATTGGCTGAGCATAACCTTACAGGTTGAAGGTTGATGCTTTGATCTCTGTCAGCTTCCAATAGGATATTGAAAGACTCCATGCTGGAAACTCTGGAAAATAACTGTAAATCACTGAGCTAACTAGTCCAATGATCAAACTCAGTCTAAGGCAGCTCCTTATGTTTATATCTTTAACCTGAATTGTATTAAGAAAGGCTTTTAAACACTGCTAGCCACAAATTAGACACCATTTGAAACTAAATTTAAATGTAAACAACAATAACAACTTACGAGCTATGGAGTGAGCCAACATCATTCTGGGAAGATTCTTGTTTGACTGTTGGGGTGACTATTGCTGGATGAGGAATCCCAGTTGTATGTAAACTATGATGAGGAGGGACCATGTGTGGAGGGAACCTAGAGGAGATAAAGCTGTGTAAATCGTCAGAATAATAATGAATGAATGGGGACAGGTGTGTACACACATATAATAAAGGCACATTACAAGGATATAAAAACTATGCAAGCATATGAAAACTGGTATCCATTATTCAAAATATATTTTAAAAATATCCATTCACTATGGTCATTAACTCATTTACTATTAATCACTAAGATTTTCTTCAAACACTTATAAATAGCAATTCAGTTCATGAAAACACAATGAAATTTCAGCACATTCACTTGAATATAAAGCACAATCTTAATTTGCAGCAGATTATGAAAAATAAAGCATTATAGATTTAAAGCTCCAGTCAGAATATCAAATCAAATTAAAGGTGGCTGTTTTATTGATATATATTAAGAGATAATAAAATGTTAACAGTACTATCATTCATGTGCAATTCTTTATATTATTTTATGTATGCATGTTTTTATTTTAAGTATGGCACAAGGAAATTTGTTTAACTTCTGTTCTATTAATACTTACAGCATAGGGGGAAAAAATTGGGGGGCATTTGATTTAAAAGGAGTCTTAGTATCATTTCTATGTAACAACAATTGAATAATTATCACAAAGTTAAAGTATATGTTCTGAAGTTCACAAAATATGAATATATCTATATCTTTCTGGTATGTTTTGTTATAATTCACATTATTTACCATGGGCTCTTTAATATCACAGGGTTAGTACAACCAAGACTCAAATGAAGAATGAATGTAGGACAGCTTTGAATAGGTGGGAAATGGGATGTGTGAGATGTGACATCATACAGAACAAAGATAGATAGATAGGTAGGTAGGTAGGTAGGTAGAGGTAGAGGTAGAGGTAGAGGTATATTTTAGCTAAGCAAGGATTTGGGGAAGTCCAGAATATTGGAATATATATTTCATACACCATTCCCAAGATTATGGGAGATGAGAGATATTGTGGTCTAACACCCCTGGAGACCCCAAATTAATACCTTGTGTTTAAAGTATTCAATATAAATAACTGCAAGAATATAACTGATTAGTGCTAATCATTAGGATTAGTTATAATCCTAATAAAGATCTATATCCAGAAAGGTGGTGTTTTGTGTGTGTGTGTGTGTGTGAGAGAGAGAGAGAGAAAGAGAGAGAGAGAATGAGAATGAGAATGAGAATGGATGGCTATATTAATAAATAAGCTAATTGGATATGCCAATTTCTAAATACTTGGGCCTAAGAGAAATGGATCAAATAAGACAGTACCAGTCAAAATAGAATAAAATATCTACCTTACTTAAGCAATGCATTCTCTCCCTGACACAGAAAGATTGGCTCTCAGAACAAACAGAAAAGACAATGATCAAGCTCTTTTCCAAAAGCTCATTAGATTTCATAGCTTTTAATTACAAAAGCTAATTCTATCTGTTGATATCTATTTTTAAAATCAGAATCAACATACAAAACAACAACAACACAGATGGCATCTGAAAGTGTAGAGGTAGCGCTCTGCATCTGTTGTCTGCCTCTGTCATGGTTGGGACTGTGGGAGACATAAAGCCTGTTTTTGTCTTATATACTGGATCATCCTGACTTCTGTGGAAAAGAGAAGTATCTCCCGTAGTCTTATGTCACAGAGTATATAGTATTACTGTTCTTCTAATTCTATGGCAGGGTTCCCCAAAGTGGTCAATATTGACCCCCAAGGATGAACGGAATTATACAAGGTTGATATTATTATTATTGCGGTTAGTTATTATTACTGTTGGTCACACAGGCAGATGTTTAGACTGGATTTGGCATTTTTATCTACCTCTCAAGTCCTTCCCAAGGACCTGGGATAGGCAGATCTTCTTGTCTGATGGTGTTAAAGGTATCGGCGCAGGATGCAAGCTGTTCCAAGTAAAGCTGCCTTTTGCAATTGACTGATGGTGATTTTGTCAGTGCCGATGGTCTTCAAGTGGTACTCCGGATGTTTTGGGATTGCACCCAAGGTGCCTATTACTATTGAGACTACCTTTGCTTTCTTTCACTATAGTCATTCTACTCCTACTTGCAGTCTTTATATTTTGTGATTTTCTCCAGTTCTTTCTATTATTATTATTATTATTATTATTATTACAATTAGTGTGGGGGATCAATGAACAGTCTGAAACTTCATAAAGGGGTTGATGAGCTAGAGAGTTTGGGGACTGGTGTTCTATGGAAAAAACAAAGCACTGACTTTGGCGATACCACTGAATGGCGCAAAAACTATCTCTGTCCCTAAGAATAGGAAGTCCATTTTCTACAGGTAAAAATCCTGTAGAAGAATACCTAAGACCTTATTTCAGTGCATGCGTATGCTCATCACCTAACTCAGCCATTTCCTGACAAAGGATTCACATTTTGTGACACATAAGAACAAACAGGATGGAAAGAAGAGATTGAAAGGGGACAGAGGACAGAAAATGGAAAGAAAAAGCTTTCCAGCTTAAAAACTATTTTGGATTATGGTATAACTAAGCCAAATTGTGAGTAGTTTTATTTTATACTTTATAAAAATATTTGCTTGTTTTTAATCAATTGCATTCCTTCAACAATATGGATAAGCAGTAGATTCTCTTCCCTTGAATGCCAAAACATAAGGGATATACAATGAAAAACAGAGTACCAAATGTAGACTAGAAAACTATTTTTTATGAAGGGTGTGTTATCTTAAATGTTTCTTAACTTTTTAAAAAGGTAGTAGACAAAAGGTTAAGCAAGAAGGTGCTTTAACTTTAAAAGCAAGTTTGGAAAGTCTTATTATGGCACTGGGTGAACAAGGAAGCAAATCAAAAGGTGATTAAGTCATATCTAAAGGCTTCCTAAACCAAGGTGAACAAAAAAGTAGTAATTTCATTGACTTATTTCTGATTTTTGATAAGAGAGAAGAGAAACCAGCTGTACTACTGCTAAAAACAGATGATGCTGCAATTAAGTTTTGCTGTGTAAGGGGAAATTTTATATTATTAGTATTTATGTAGAAATGCACTCTTCTCCAACCTGGAATCTTCCAGATTTGTTCCCAGGGAACATGGCCCTTGGGAATTTGGGAGCAGAACCTTCAGCACACAGAGAGTGCTCCTGGTTGGGCAATACTGTGATAAAGCATTAAATTCTTTATCTTAGTTTCATTCGAAGAGGATTTGTGGGAAATAGCTCTTTCCCATGTGGAAAAAAGGGAAAAATCATACAATTATTATTTATCCCCCACCTATAACCTCTTTCCTAGTTCACCCTGGGAAAATCATGGGCAAAGTCATGACATGATAAAACTAAACCTTGTAATAAAATAACTTGTAACATAACTTTGGAAAAATAATATACTTAAAGTTCTGGAAAATCTAGTTATTATAATCTTTCAACTAAAATTAGTTGATGCAAAATGCCTAAAGGATGGGAAGAATAGTAAAGATCATTGATAAAGCAAAGAAGGCTGATGTGAAGGAAGAAGAAAAAACATTTTCCAATGTTACGAAGAACAGCTGAGGAAGATTCTCCGCTTTCAAAGCTCAAATCTGTCTGACTTTAAAAAGTTTCACAGGACTGCTGAGTTTAATGTTATGTCTGATTGTCAAAAAAGTTGTTACTCTTTTCATTTCTTAACATTTCATTTCTTAAGGTTCTGAGATGATATAAAAAGTAAGCATAGATGTAAATTGGAACACAGAAGTAGCCAAAATGGGTCAATTCCCCAAGGATGATTTCGCTATAGAGGAAAAAAAAAAATAGAGTTGAGTTTGAAAGGCGTATGTATACGTGTGAAAATGTCAGGAAAGGAAGCTACACTCTACTTTCTTATTTACACTGAAATGAGAGGGCACAGAGTCAAAATTATTAAATACTAACCATCCCTCAATATAATTATTCAATACAATATGACAATATAATAGAAGCACATTCATATGCCTTTTGTGTGACTGGGTCATGGTTTTGAAAAATTCACATATGAAAGTTATTTATTGAATGTCTTCTCTGTCTGTGCTGATACACATGTCACTATGTACATATGGATTTTTGCTTTATGTCTCTTTGAGAGATGTGTGAGTTCCTCACAGTGCATTATATAAGAACATAAGACAGAGAGAGATCCTATGGCTTTGACTGCAAAATATCTTCCTGCAGACCGGCACCTATCCCAATTGCAATAAACACTCTAAAAATTCTAAGTAGCTCATTATATACCCTGTCTGCTTTTATGGCTCCAAGCCAGAATATAATGATGAGCTGTAACTTGTTAAGGACAACTAATTTTTTGTTCCTGGCTGTCTCAGGGGCTTATCTCTCTTATGCGCTCTCACTTTATTTCACTGTTGACATGTTTCTGTTAACTGGATGTCATCTGCCTGCCTTGATTTTATGCACAAGCAGTGGGATGCATTTTTTCATGCAACTATTCTGCTTTGAGTTGCATTAGGTTTGTCATTATCCCCTCATTTTCCCCTTGCACTTGTAACATTTCATCTATTCCTGCCTCACTTTATTTTATTTTATTTTTTTGAACCACGGTGCACCCACATTATGGTTTATACATGATCTTGCTCCCTTTGAAGCCGGCAGATTTCAGAGCCAGCCCTCATCAGGAGAAGTGCCTACTACCAATTTAGCAGGCTGAGGGCCCCGAGCTTCAACATCTCAATCTAAAGGGGGTCACGGAGTGGCACAAGCGAGTGTCAGCAAGTGCTGTTTAATTGCCAATCTAGGCTTCTCCATGGTGTTTAAAGTATAATGACCCATCACTTAATTCTGAGAAGTCCTGGCCCTGCTGCTGAATAGAATGAATATCAAAGGATGTGCCAGAGCAGGGCAAGGAGCATACAATTCTTATAACTGTTGTAAGTATAATAGACTTGTACTTCTGTCATCCCCCTATCACAATAATGTATTTAGTTTGCTGTATACCCTTTCTAACTAGCTCTCTTTCATAAAGGCGTAGCTGGGGAATATATTGTCCCCCTTTCTCTCACATTCCCCTCTCTTGTGAAAAACTAAACAAAATAAATAGAACAACCTCACTGATAACAATTAAACTCAAGCCGATGACATTTAAACATCTTTTCAGACCCTGCCTATCTTTTTCACATGTACAGTATTAACAACAGCAGAGAATGTGGGTTCTAATAATACAAGTGCAAGTAGAATTTGTTTATTTAGCTTTTTCAGTTTGAAACCTTTTGAGAATATCTATTGGCCAAGAAATTTCCTTTCTGCTTCTTCAATCCCTTGCTATCTTTAAGACCCTTCCCCTTCTGCTGTCTAGCCTTCACTAGAAGCTGCAAAGACTGGAACGTGTAGAGAGGAGGGAGAGGAGGCTGAATGTGGAACCTTGCTATGTAATGCATGCTAATTCAATTATGTGCCATCATCAAAATGGATTAGCTGTTTCAGCCCATCAGGAAAGTCTAAACCTCCACCGATTTAATTAACTGGACTGAAAATCAGATGAACAGAGAATAAAACTATCATTAGGAGCAATTAGTGATTACTTAAACATAGTGCTGCCAAGCAGTTTGTAAATAAACTAGCATCTCTTGGAAAATTAGGTGGAATTAATTGGAGGTTGGGGAAAAGAAAATAAATATATATCTCTGAGGATCAGGTGGGTCTCTTTATGTGAAGTAAAAATATTTGAGTTTAGGAACGAGGAGAAATTTCAACACCCCTCTCCAGCACAATAAGTAGATTGCTTCTATTCTTCACAAGAAACTCATGTTAGAAGGAAGAGCCATGGGGAAAACAAAACCTGTAAGAGCATAAGCTCCTGGCTTCTTAGTACGTCAGGCTTATTAAACTGTTTTCCTCCAGTTAGCTATCAGTTAAAAGAAATTAACTTCCAAAACACTGAATTTTAGTACATGACACATGATAGGGTTTTCTTATGTAAAACAATGGATGGAATTTTTTCATACTAAATGGAGAACAGTGTATAATTAAGGCATATGATTTTAGCAGAGCTTTGCCACTCAAAAAGAATAATAAATGGAAATGACAGTTGACCCATATATTAGACCTAGGTATTTTGAACTCACCTTGACATGGAAGCATTGACGGTCAAAGCAGTGGGGTAGGGATGTCGGAATCCTCCTGTTGTGATTGGATAAACTGGTTGACCTTGCCTAGAAAGATAGGGTAGGAAATGAATAAAAAAATAACAATTACAGGGTTTTTAAAATTGTTTTCGTTTTTTTAAAGTTCTCCACCCAGTAAGTTTTATTCTCATTTGATTGGAACAAAAATCTTGGGGATTGTACAGCAACAGATCAAAGGAAAGAAACACAGAACAATTTGAATGCCATAAATCTGATACGAATGGCTAATTAAATTTTATAACCTCTGCTTATGTCAATAGAGACCCTCTCCCCAAGCTGAAACTAGGTGTTTTGTTGTAATAATTAAAGGCGAAGTCTTGCTTGCTTTAATGGAGCCATCACACTAATTGAGGGCTACACATCCAAAGGAAAACAATAATGAATGTAAATTTATACCAAAATAAAGTACAGTGAATCAAAGGACTTCAGTTGCGCTTTGGGCCTCTTTTGGTATTTAGATCTCGGTGAGAAAACATTAAATTAACAGAGCTTAATTTGTAGCCTTTTGTCAGATTAACAAGTGTTGACAAGAGTTACCAGGGGAGAGTCCCCAAGAAGTATTGTGGGTAACCAATAGACAATCATACCTCATTACAATAATTAAAAATACAGCAACATACCAAACAGCATTTTATGAAAGCTTCATAGATTTTTATGACTGTTTGTCTGTGCTAGGTTTTTTTTTTTTTTATGTCTTTCAAAGGTTTGAACTGAATGGGATGGATTTTTTCTGGTGTGTATTGTTATTGGTATTAGTATTATCCTAAATACATCCCATTTGTTTTGGTATGGAGTGGATCCTATGTTTGTTAAATGTAGACTGGTTAAAAAAGTATAACGAGAATAGTAGAATAATCATATTTTTAAAGTATTTAATTTTGAGGATCTTTTATCATGAATGTTGTAGAAGTACAATAAAGTGCTTTATGTAAATAGAACCAGAGATAAAGCTGTTAACTATTAATTTATTTCCTTTTTTTCTGAAGAAGTGAATCATGTAGATATATGCTACAGAGGTAACTAATGAAGTAACACATTGTAAAAGTCTTGCTACTGTCTACGTTACTTCTTTCATTCAAGCATTAACTTTCTCTAGCATAAAAATCATTAATTTTCTTCAGTCTTTGGTCCATACTTTTCATGTATAAAATAAAAAATAACTAGCATAATACCAGGAAGGAGGCTTTTAAAGAACCCTACCTATAATAATAAACAACTTTATAGAGGTATGCATGGTGAAAGCCATTTGTTCCAGTTGTGAAACTTTCTACTTTATTCAAAATCAGCACATTATTAATATACAAAGGTATGTGCCATACAGGTGTGCCATATAGACTTTATGAGTCATAGAAGATAATTTAAAGCTAAAAATTAGAAAATTCAAAAATCAGGAAAATAATGAGCCAAAAGCCAAACTTACTAAAAATGTTGAAATATTATAGCGCCTAAAATGCCTGGTGCATTTGATCACCTAACTATGTGAAGACATTACACATTTTATTCAGCCTTCTCTCTTTGCCTAGTTACAATTACTTAAATGGAGCATGTTGTAAAGTAGAATGGAACAGGTATGTGCTAAGATTTACTCACTTCTGAGACCATTAGTCAAAAGGTGTTGGGTAATTTACATATCAAATACATTTTTTGTTTCATTTTTATAAATCATATTTGAGACTTCCCCCTCCTTTGTTTTGTTTTCTGCTAAGTAAGACATGTGAGAGTTCTGCTTGAATAATGCTAGTGGCTCATGCCCTTGGTCATCTTAGATTCAGTGAACTACTGTAATGTTGTTATTACACAGCTTTATAAAGGAAATAAACATTTTGATTAAAATTGGAATCCTTAATTAATCTTCATGTTATTACACATTCTTAAAATCAGTTTAGTTTTCTTCATCAACTCACTTAGCTCTCTTTTAATTTTTGAAATATGTTTCATAAAAAGGAAAAATATCCCAAGACATGAAAATAAATTATTTTTAGAGATGCACACAAATGTGATGTTTTACAAACAAGTACCAAGAATCATAAAAATAACCATCAAAATTAGCAAACTGCCAACATTATATCATTCTGGAAATTTTATTTCCAATACTTTGTACTAACTCTTGAAATAAACATTTCATGGATCATCAGAAATTAAAACAAATTAAAAAGCTGCACACAACTTCCATTCTTATTTAATATTCTATGACCCATCATTTAATCTTTATTAACCAAGTTATTAATTTCCCAGCATAATAAACTGGCAGCTGTGAAATAAACATGTTTATTTCAAAATACACATTTCAGGCAAAGGAAATAACCATGATAAACTTCCCGCTACATATATGCACAAATACACTTATACATAAAAAAAGGGAAAACAAAAAAATAAATTAAAAAATGGAACTCCTTACTGTGGTACTAACCATCCTAGCGGATGGGGAATTTGCCCTACAGTGCCCGGTGATAGTGGATAATAAGGAGATATATCTGGAGGGTGTGGAGGCCGTGGAATTCCTAGGGAAGAGGAAAAGGAAGCATCATAAAACTGGGTCAGGGCAGAGCACAAAAAGAGAAAAGTGAAGGAGGCAGGTAAGTAATACTAATTTCTATGCCATGAATACTACCCTTTCTGCCTTTATTTCCCATTTTCAAGGCAAGTCCTACTGACTTGATTTCTTTCCCAGAATAACCTAGTACAGTACTAGAAAAGTAGGACATTTGATCTGTCTTCTTCACGCTCAAGGACCATGCAGGACTTTGTTCTCCAAACCTTACAAGGATAGAGCTCCCTACATTTTGTGCTATCATGTGTGTTGCCTCCCTTTATCTATACCTTTAAGTCATGTTTTTAAATATTTGAAACAAATTTAAGAACTACAAACTTTACTACAATATTAATTAAGGAACTACTTGATGCATTTATACCTCTTTCCCATACACTTGGTTGGACAGCCTGAGTGCAAATAATGAGTTGGAAACAAAAAAGAATGCAATCAGGGTTGGTAGTACAGTCTTCCACTGTGTCCAAATGGATGGTGCATTTTTCCAATTGTATCTGTCCATTCTACTAGACCTTATGGGGTAGACATAGTCCAAATCTTGTCCATCAAACAGTGCCATCTGGGGGGATCCAAGAAGCATGCCTTCTCTGTCACAGTGCTGTCCTTTGGAGCACCAGACCCTTGAGATTCACTTGGCCTCAACCCTGCTGGCATTTCCTAAGTCCTTGAAGACCTAGATATTGCCTTAGGCATGGATCTGGAGGTTTGGTTAGATCATCACTGTGATTTTTCTTAATATGGCTGTTGTAAGGATTGGGTTAGATTGCTCTCAGGCATCACTATGTTATTGTGTTATTATTTGTTGCTATGGCTGTATTGTTTCTGTGGCTTTTAATCTTAAATTTGCTACCCAGATTACAATTGTGAGATGGGCAGCTAAAGAAATTGTCTAAATCAATCAATCAATCAATCAATCAATCAATCCAATAGCTCTGCCATTGGCAGAACATGATAGAAATCCAGAAAAGAGGGCATTTAGGGGTGGAAGTAGCTAGCTCTGATCCACTGATCTCAAAGCTGTTCTGTTCCTCTACAAATCAAATAATAAAAACATATTGCCTCCTATCTACTGTCATGGTTGCTATGAGCAAGCAGTTTTGGAAGGTATTATAAGATTCAACAGTAAACCTCTAGATTAATTTTATATTGTTATATTATTATATTCAAGTAACTGAAATATTAAAACAACATCTATAACCTAGATTTAAAACTTATAAAAATTAATATAATTCACTTAAATCAGAAATGGCTATAGAATTTCTGGTTTGTATGTATTAAGCCACATTAGAATAAAAGTCAAACTAAAATAAGGGTTAATTTTATATACTTTTTACACAGAACAAAATCTGCCACTCATTTAATTAGAAGCTTTTTTCCTCTGCAATCTGCAGGACAGGAGGAAGGACTATCCAGATTAACATGTCAAAGACAGGTAAACCTCTTTATGCCTGTCTCAGCATAATCTGGATCAGAATTCCATCTTTTACTTTTGAAAGGGAAAAGGGGACAGATATCATTGCATGCAATATGATACAGATAATATGTAGTTTGGCCTTTATATTGTGAGAATTGGGCACACTAAGTAATACTGATTTTGGATAGATTTGGATGGATCGGCTAAGTGCAGCTTTATTTCTAAGAACTAATCCTGTTTTTTGATGAGTAAATATATATGAACTATGTACTTACCATATTTGAATTTAACAGACTCTTTTTTTAACTTGGAACAAAAGAATCCCCACCTCCCAACTCTGTGTTGCCGATTAATTTAAAAAGAATAGCTAGGATAAATGAATGCCTTGAAATAATATATTTGGAATTGTTCCAAAACATTCCATGTGGCTGCTCATAGTGATCTTTCCTAAACTTGTGTCCTTCAAATGTGCTATGACTGCAACTCCTTGGCCATAGCCCCAAGGTTCCTGATATTCAGAATTTCCAACATGTCTTTTGAGAGTAGACTGAAGAAGGGTGGTTTATAAATATATAGCCCACAATGCTAACTTTCTCAAGGGAATAATAGTTCTGGATTAATCATTTTAAAGTGGCTTAATCCTTTACAATACAGAAAAAGCAGGATTCAGAAGAGAAAACATAAAAATGAAGAGACACAGTATTCACAGCTCTAAAACTATGTTTAAGTCATTCAGAAAGCTTTTAACTCTAAATTAAATATTCCTGCGGGATATTTTCATGCAGTTTTTTTTCTTCATTACCTAAACAGATTAACTGGGCTTTAAAGATTTAGTGAGCAGTTTACACCCTTAAAATAATGTTCACAGAGAAAAGTACACAGTCTAGGGATGTCAATCATGTTTAAAAATTATTCCCTATATAATCATTGTTTAAATGGTAACAAACTAACTGCCAGGTATTTGCAATATTCACAGCTGGATGCACGATATTCCTTTAAAGTTAGAATTAAGTGAAATCTAAGAGCAGACAATTGTGGCATGTGGACAAAAATATGATGCAACAATCCATTCATTTCTGGATGGATATATTATCTAAATATGTTATTTATAACTCTGGTAATCTTGACATACATTCACATTATAAATGTTACCTTTTAATTAATTTTCAGGAGTTTGGACTAACACTCTCCACCCTCCTAATTTCTTTATGTGACTTGAAAAGCAAAGACTAAGACCACTACTGCAGCAGGCTACCAAAATATATATTTTAGTTCACAAAACAAACCAGGTCTGCTGCTTAATACTAATAAATCTAAACCATGTATAGAATACAATGCATATACAGTCATCATCTTTTAAAATGGATTAAGGAACATACTGAATATAGTACCAAAGTTTAAAAAAATGCCCTTTCTTGCCGAATGTTATTGCACCATTTCTTTGTTAAATGTTGATGCAAAAAAATTCAAAAACTGCCATGGCACTTATGTTAAGACAATACTAGGACTCATCCTGCTGAACCTTGAATCAAAATGGTCTTGATCACCTTCAGAAAAATCTGAATTGACAATGAAAATGCCTTGAAATTCTACAATGGAACTTTCTATAGCAAGTTTAAGTCAAATATGAGTTTCCTTCTTTTTTAAATACTTTGATAAAAATTTGGTTCTTTAATCCTTTGGCCAGGAGTATTCAAAACAGAATTATTTATTCACCCATCTATATGTCTCATGGAAATTATCAAGAACATCCTTTATCTCCTCCAATATTTACAGGTAGTTCTTCTTTAGTAACCACAAGTGGGACCTGCAATTAGGTCATTAGGCGAAGTGGTCACTAAGTGAAACTGCAACTGTGCTTATGATCTTATTTCAGCTTTCCTTTGCTTTACAGACCTGTGAAGGTCATAAATGCAAGGATTGGTCATAAAATAACTTTTTTATCATGGTCATAACTGCAAAGAATTGCTAAACAAGTACTACTTGTAATTTTATTTAATACTGTTTGGCCAACTGGCCTGTTTTGTAAGGTTTCGAAACTGTGGGTCTAAATGCAGCTGAACACAAAACTATTATTATGTTTTATGGATAATAATGACTGTTTTACAACACAATGTGTGTGTGTGTGTGTGTGTGTATATGTTATCATGTTACATATATGTTACAACAATATGATAAAATATCAGATGATTCACTTTTATCTACTTTCATATACTTCCTATAGGTTCCAATGGATTGGTTTGTACTACTGAAATTTGTACAAACTGGGGTTTTACCTGGTGTTTGGATACTTTTAAATATCTGGGAATAATTATTCCAGTAAGACTTTCTTTCTATAGATATAAATAATATCTAATTATTTATATTATATTAATATTGATATAAATAGATAGTTAAAAATTCCAGTGGTAAAATATAAACATTGTAAAAATGAACATTTTCTCAGGATTTATATATGTATTTAGAGGCACTCCTATTTTAATACTCATAAGACACTGTATACTGATTTGTAAGTTATTAAAAACTTTTTTACAGGAAAGATCTCTCTAGATGCCTTTCATCAAATGACAGTTATCTTACAATGAAGGGGGTTTAACTTAACTGATTTTCAACTTTATCACTTGGCCTTATTTTAATTTCTGTTTCCTTCTGGAATTCAAGTGATCCAATTAAAAACCACTATTGGCACAATTGGAAACTTATTTCGTGACCCCTTTCAGTATTAAGGCTTTGATTTTTATTTTTTTTAAATACAACCATACTATGCTTCCAACAGTAAGGGCAGCAAGATACCTTTTAAAGTTATTGGAACTGAAGCATGATTTTTACCCTTATCTGCATTATATGCTTACACTTTGGGATAATCCCAGTTGGACAATTTCAAGTAATCCTCCCCTATTTGGGCCAAGTATACATGGTCTAATAGGGGTATTAATATTTTATATCAGCTTATTGCTAATTATGTTTCTAACCATCCCTGCTGATGTAGAAGTATCTAAATTGTCTAAAATTATGGGACACAATCACATTTTGCAATTTTGTCCAGATGTGTTAGCAGCATCTAAAACTCCTGAATTAGACTTGAAAAGTGTGCTGGATGTTTCCAAATCCACAGTCCTCTTTAATAAGACATTAGTTATCTAGAGTAATTTTGAAACAAAGGGTATTGTTAACTAGTTTACTGATGTAAAACTGGTAAGCTACTAGAATTGATTGAATAGTTGACATATAACTAAATAATGCATTAACAAATGAAAGATCAATGGACTTCTAGAATATTAAATATGTGTCTTATGATCTTAAGGGGATATTGGTTCAACAAAATATTTTTTTCATATTAGAATGTTTAAAAAGGGTATGTTGTCAGCTTTATTATGTAAAATCACAGAGGAAACATTTAGACATAATCTTTGGCTTGTTCCACAATTGTTTTCTTTTGATATACATAAATTTACTCATATGACTTTAAGAAGGACAACGTTCTTTAAAGATATGTGTATTATTTTGAATTATATTGCCAAAATTTGGATCTATTCATCCTCCGCTTAGAATGTGATTCTAAATTGACATAACAAAAAGATTGAACAATATTATTCTGTGTGGTCAAGTTTTAATGCTGTATATTTAAAACTAAGTTGATATTTCTTATGTATATTATGGTGCCATGTTTGTTTTTCTATTGTTCATTTTTATTTTTTATATTCCTTTTCCACCTCTTTTTTCTGTACATTATTGCAATAAAACATTAAAAAAATGAAACAAAGTGTCCAATTCTGTGATATGAGAACAATTTAACTTTGGAAATTCATTTATCAAGGGATTAAAAGTTAAGCATAGGCCTAGTTGGTTGAAATCAAGATGCCACAACTCTGGAATAATCCCAACGAAGTCAAGCCATTAGTCCAAAAAAATGAAATTACAGCTGAACACAAATTTTATATTGCTTTCTTTTTAAAGAATTGTTAGAAACTAAAGTGCATATATTTTATTGTGGTAGATTTATTTAGTTAAGTGTAATTTGCAGGGCTTGGAAATGGAAATAAAACTTTTTAAAATACAATCTAATCTCTATTTCATATATATCATCTACATTTATATCTATCCTGATAATAATTATCCCTGATAATATTCATTTGAATCATTTTATCCTACAATGGAAATTTCCTTTCTCCTCTTTCTAAGAACAATGGTATATAAGATAATTCTTTATGATTTTTATTAAAGTAGACCTCTATCAACAGCTTTTAGGAACAGTTGAGTATCATCTTGGTATTTTTCTTTAAACCATAAGATTTAGTTTCTGCTTGGTATCCATGTATCCCACCTAAAAACAGACATCAGAAATGGACTGCATTATCATTAGAATGTGCTGAATGATAGGGCATATCATTTCAAAGTCATGTATGCAGGAACCTACAACTTACCTATCTTACAAAATGTCATCACTTATAATTAATTTGCTCATTTTTCATCATTTTGAAATTGTTCCTTTTGTTATACTTTGCCAATATTTTCCTTCCTTAGTTGATCTGACACTACCTTATTTAAAGAACTTCTTTAAAGCCTAACCCATTCGCAGACATCCCTCTGCAATAACACTTACAACCTACCTGTTTTGGGATCTACATCGGCTGGTAAGTGTGGAGGAGGATTCCCTGGCGTGAAGTGCTCATTGCTGTACGTAATAAGCGGTGTAAGGGGATGTACATGGTGTGGGTGCTGCACAACTGGGACTTTGTTAGACTGTAAAAATAGAAAATAAAAAGTGTAGGGAAGATGCTGCATTAATAATGTTCCAAGTAGACACATTAAGGAAGCTATTTAAACATATGCACACGCACACACACACATATACACAATCATGCACACACATACACAGTACAGATGTTTATGACTCTCCATGTTCAGAATGTGAGAATATCTTCAATAGGCTCTTTCTTCCTCCTTTCTCTAATGCTCTGGGATTCTTAGTTTCTTTACTAGGAAGTGAATTAAAATAAATTCAATGTTGTTAAGCTCTCACTCTCTGGAATGAAATTCCTGACCTGTAAAATGAAGCCTCTTTACTCCCTCTTTTAGGGACTTCTTCATAGCCACTCTTTAAAGCCACTTTAAATGGTCAAAAATGTTTTCTCAGTGACCTGTCATGTCCTTACCATGGCTATCACAAAGCACTCAGTATAAATCATGAACTGGCCAGTGTTCCCTCTAGCAAACCAATGAAGAAACTGGCTTCCTGTGCTCCCTGCCCCTAACCCATTCAATTTCAAAAGCACAGTGAAATGATGAGGTGTTATGGTGACTTGTCTTCAAAGGGGACGGAAAGCCAAGGAGATGGGGCAAGCAAGGAGTTTCAACCAATGGGAAACTGCCCATGCTGAAGTTCCAGCATGTTTGCAGTCTTTCCTTCTCCATTGTAACTGAATTAAAAGAAGTCTGAAATGGTGAGGAAACACAGCAAATGCCATACATGGAAGAGCCTAGACTTCATTTTAAATTTTAAAGATTTTCATGATATATAAAGGAACATCTCACCATCTGATGGAAAACTGTTGTTGTGGTACTAAGGGTTCTTTGTTTCCTTTGTTTAGACTAAGACATGATGTTTGCACTACGGAATTTTGAGGGTGTCACAAAATATTGAACTCTCAGGGAGCAATTGTTTGCTCATCTCTATCAGGTATAAGAAACACTTTTCACCCTGTGCCAAATAACGTAACCTTAAAATTGCTGACACACAGATCTTACTCACAGTCAGATGTGTGTACTGCAGAGTTCATTTCAGGACACATAGCTCTGGTCACAAATGAAATCCATGTGTCAGCAATTCAAAAGCTGTGTTGTTAGTGGACATGAACCAACCCGAACCAATCATACGGCTGATCTACCTAGAAACAAATTAGCTTTGGCCCTATAGTATTTAAAAGGTAGACTTTGGGTTTTTCAAATGCAATTCTCACACTATAACAAACTTTTCCCCATATACTTTTTAAACTTCATCCTCAAGACATGTCCACATTAAGCTCCATGTCTTTCTTAAACTAAGTTAACTACTGACCCACCATACATTTCTTTTAATCTTACAAGTATGTCCTAAAGAAAGAAATTAATTTGGGGTTTTAGTTCATTAAACAAAAAACAAGCAAGCAAGCAAAGATTATCTGATTGTCTCAAAGATGGCAAAGCCTATACATGCTTACCTGCAAGATAAATGCCAGTGAACCTAATGGGACTTATTGAATTCCAGGGGACTCTCTTCTGAATAGGCATATAGGCAAGGGTGCCAATCAAATAAACAGAGCATATTAATATGCAATTTCTCATTGGCTGTGAATATAACTTGGAGGAGGGAGGTGGAAAGAAGGAAATGCTTAAAACCATATCACTCTCAGAAATAAAATACCAAATATCAAATTTTGTATTATAGTTGAACTTTTTATTTTTTATTCTTCCACAGGAAAAACAGAAAGGGAATAAAGAATAAAAAACTAAAATGGGGAAGGGGGAATCTGTTTTTGTTTTTATTGCACAGTGAATTGCACACACACACACACAAAGATGAAACAAGCAGACTGCTGAGCCATTTTTTTCTGTAAATAATCCAACTGCAATTCACACACATTGATACACACTCACGAGAGAGAAGGAGAAGGAGGGGGAACCCTATTCCCTATAGAGGATTTACACTAAAATCCTACAACAGGGACATTTAACCAGATTAGGTAGCAGCAAAGATAAAGAGTCTAGTATTAGATGAAGAATGGATTAGCGTCAACTTTCATTTTCAAATGTGTCTTCATTTCCTTTTATTACTTTCAGTAAGGAACAATTTGCATTAACATCAAGTAAAAGGAATTACATTAAAAGAATAGGGACAGTGAGTAGTGCCTACAAGCGCCACCTTAGTCCAGGAGCTGTCAGAGTCTTTGCAATTATCCTTAATCTAGATTAGCAATTGTCATTCCAAAAAGAGATGGATGGACACCTTCAAGAGATACAAGGAAACCTAGAAGAATTCTTCTGTTAAAAATACTTGAATTCTGAATTTCCTTTGAAATATTTTACTCTTTCAAAGCATGTTTTATTATACTGTATCAATCTAGTTTGCTTGCTTTGCAATTTTCAGTTGGATTCGGAAAAAACAGTAATTTGTACTTGATGAAAATTAAAATTCTACCATAGCTATTTATTCATTACGTAAACACTTTTTAACAGGGAAGTAGTTTTTAAAACTGTTAACAAGATTTATTTCTGACTCTGCAGGAGTCCTCCACAATGCTACAATTATTGAAAACATAACTACACAGTGTCATTGAATGCATAGGGACTTAGTAAACATGTTTAGAGTTATGTTGCATATAATCCTGGAATAATCACACTCTATGATAATGAAGATAAATGGTAATAAAGATAAATTAACTTAATTCACTAACTTGTAAAATAGTAACAACTTGTAAAATAGTAACAACTATTGTTGTTGTTGTTATAGAATTTGTTTCACTGCTTCTGGCAGGATGAACTAAGATGAAGCAATCATTCAGAGTTCATTCGTGCTTGTTCATTCTTGGGAAATCAAACACAATTCTGATTTTCTAAATATTATTCCAGGCACAGAGACAATATATACTGATGTCTTCTATGAATAATCACTGAGGAGGACATATGCAGCCAAAAAATTTGACAATTTAACCTATCAGTTTATTCACTGTTCTGTGCCAGATGAATCTCTGAAATCTAGTTTATTTGTTGGCACATTTTGTTCATCTTTTGCACACTCATTCGGCATCCAAGCATAGCATTCTGATACTAACATTTGGAGGACCCGAGTTTCTGAATTACATCAGACTTGCAATGCATGTTATGAAGGAGATCCCTATGTTCCTGTTACATTTTGCTATTTTGAGTTCTGCGAGTCCACTTTCAATGCTTAATAAAAATTTGGTAAAGACTTAACGTTTCTGAAGGATTTCTCTATGGCTTACTTCATTCTCATTCCAAATTCTCACTGAGCCCTCCTTTTTCATGAAATTAAAGATCTCATTGAGTCCTCATTATATAAAATGATGATGATGATGACCATTACAATTTACAGGCTCTGTCCAACTCCAGACAAGTCTGGGTGGCTTATAATTAGAAATAAGGCATAAAACCATGCAAAAAAGAACCATGCACATCCATGGTTGTTTATACAGTATCACAAAATATAACACCCCTCCCCTGCCAAAAAAAAGATGGAGGTTGAACATCCACCCCAGCTCCAGCCCCATTCCACACACTGGAATATCATCAGGGTGGGTGTCACATGGATGTCTTTTGCTACAGTTTGTGCAACTTTAATTTTGGACAAATATGACTGCTAAAATATAGTTTATGTTATGGAAACAGGCTAGCAGATAGTTTTATACTGTATCTAGCCAGAAATAAAATTGAACATTGCTTGTCCACTGCAATTTAGTTTTGTTAAATGTATAATGGCACCAATACGTTAGGCACATTTACTGAAAAAGGAAGGGTTAGGGCAAAGATGGCCAACAATTCAAACAAGAAGGCAAAGGTAATTTTGGAAGTATGTCTGGTTTGTAACAAAGGAAGTTGATTTTGTGAGTAGGATTATGGAATTATATTAATAAGCTTTCTGGGTGGGGAAGCCCAGGGGGAGACTATTAGCAGTGTGGGTGTTAAGAATTAATACTCCATTTCATTCTGTCTTTGAAGTGAACAGGGGGATTGCCTGACCAAAAAGAAAAAAGAAAAAGCAGTCTCTAGCACAATCAAATGTCTATAAAAGGTAAGACACAGAAATTAGATAAAAAGCAGTGTTATATCAACTTAGCTCAATCCTTCTTCCACATATATTATATATATGTATATTTCCCTATTACTTTGTCCTTACTTTACATTAAAACCAAATCATTATTCTAACAACACTGAAATTTTCTGGAAGTATATCTTTTAAAATGCCATTAATAAATAACAGAACAGGATTTTTCTTACTCTAGTTGATAGCGTTAGAATACAAACAAATACAAATAGAAGATGGATGAAAATGTGGACATATGGAGGGCCCTACTTTTGGTAAACCTGGAAATTAATTCTGGCTTAATGAAAAAGCAAGTTGGAAAAGTTTGGCATTTTTTCCACTTTTCTTTGATTGTCTATGCCTGAAGCAAACCAGATTATATTACAGTCGTAGAATCAATAAAGTTACTGAACAAATATTAGAAATGGATTAGCATATGTATAAATGAAGACAACATAAACCATGGACGAGACCTTCCTATTAGAAATTTCAGCCACGGTGTATTAAAAATGCAGCTGTGCCTTTAGTAAATTCCTATAAATTACTCCAAGAGAAAGGTGAAAAAAATCTTAGGGGCTGTATACAATTAACTTCCTTTGGTGACGGAACAACTTCTGAACAACAACAAGGGGGTAGGAGAAGTAACTTCCTTTTTCTCCAGCTCACCAGCTGAATGTCCTCACTCTCAGAATCTACTCTGGAAGGTGATGACTAGAGGGAAGAAGAGAGGAAAAATCCATTTGTGCAAGTCTGTTTCCACAATGTTGGGATTTGATCTAGATTATTATGTATGTGGAGGAGGAGTATCAAAGATACTTAAATGCAACAGCAATAAATGTACTTAATACTAGAAGGTTACATGACAGAAAGGAATAAGGACACATAGGAATAAGTTGAGTCCGTGATATATATTCCGTTAGGTTACAGCCAGGAATGAAACTCT